TATTGGTCTAGAAATGTTAAACTTAATTTTTTTTTCCATTTGTACAGGGGTAACGCACTGTATGAAATATGTACGGTCTTATTTACATGGGTTTGATTACAGAAACTAATAAAGTATTCTCTAAATAAAGCATCCGGGTAATCTCATGATTAGCGCAGTGCTGCAGGATGCAAGGGGAGCACCTGAACATCGTGTGCCAAGTGAAGAGTGTGTATTACAGCGTGGGAAAACAAACTTCTAAAGGAAAAAAAAAAAAAAAGGTCTGAAACGGCTTATTTTTGTTTTCCCCGGCACTTTTGATCTCCAGTGAAGGTCTTGCAGGACATGGCTTCCGTCTAGCCCTGGAAGGAGCCTGCCCAGTTGTGTTTGCAAGATGTTACATCTCCGGCGTGCTGCCCCGTGCTGGAGGTGTTTTGATGCCTAAAGAAGAGCTGCTGGTTGGAGGAGACCAGGATGAACCCAGCTGGTTACTCTCATTTGAGCTCGTGGGTGACAACCTGGCGGCTGCACAGGTGCCCTTGCAGCAAGAGGCTGTGAAAAGCAAGAGGTTTCCTGCAGGAGTGAGCCTTGAGTTGAGCCTTCCCAAGGAAGCCGGGAGGGGAGAAGCTTCCTTCATAGGCTGTTCCTCAGCTGCTCCCTTCCCGACTCGTTGCGAGCAACACAGGTGCGCTACCACACCTTCAAATCACACTGTTAGTGATGTGTGCCCTTAAGCATCCTCCCGTCCTTCAGTTGCAGGGGTGAAGGTGAAGCACTGGAACAGGCTGCCCAGAGAGGTTGTGGAGTCTCCTTCTCTGGAGATGCTCAAAACCCACCTGGATGCATTCCTGTCCAACCTGCTCTGGGTGAACCTGCTTTGGCAGGGGAGTTGGACTAGATGATCTCCAAGGATCCCTTCCAAACCCTACTGTTCTGTGATCCCTGTGTCCCCGGGCTCCCTGCCCTGGGGCTGTGGGGAAGAGGCAGGATGCTGTCTGCTGGCCACCAGAGGGAACTCTGGGATCACAGCAACCACCAGAAACCTCCTTATGTTTGAGAAGTAATTCCTTCCTTGGGAGAAGGTGCTGGCTTGCGTTGCACCTCCAAAGGACGCAAATAAAAGAAAGGCAGCCAGGGGTGTCGGGGTCACTCTGCGAGCGCCAGTGGGAGTCCTGCAGATCTGCCTTTCCCCAGGGGTGTTGCTGCCAACTCCGGCGTGGTGGGAGCAGGCAGACCTGCCTACGTTTGGATGGGTGGGAAGCGGTAGTTTGGGGGCACCACAGGAGCCGGTTCTTTTAGGGGGGGTTTCTACTGAAACTGCAGCATTATGGAGGAAATGAAGGTGCTGTAATCCACAAAGGGGAGCGATGGGCAGAAGTAAGCTCTGAGTAGGTAACGCCACAGGTAAATCGCCTTTTTTACAGGAACCGTACACACACACGGCTACAGCAAACCCTCGGGGAGAGGAGGAAGAAGGTAGGGGAGCAGTGAAGGCAGACAGTGGTTTGAACTATGAATCTGCTACAAAAGAGATGGTTGCGATGGGGATGATGCTTCCCTGGTTTGAGGCTGTCTTCTGGTTCATGTTGGAAGGACACCCTAAAAACGGGAAGTCATACATTGGAAAACTCTGGTTTTAAGGAAATGCTGCTGAAAGGATTAGTCTTAAATTTTCTAACAAAGCCACTGGCAAAGTCAGACGAATTTCCCACAGTCGGCTGTGGGAATATACCAAGCTTTTGGCTATTTCTTGCACTGAGCAGGAGGAGGATAATAGTTCTGCAGAAACTTAATTAAAAGCAAATGCTTGAGCATTCAGTGCATCGGAATAACCCGATTTTGATGTGTGCCTCCCCAAAACAGCCCTCAGCCACCCCGGCTGCCTCTGAGGCCAGGTTGAGCTTTCAAGTCACTGACCCTGCTTCATTGAATATTTTTATGACGTTTAACCAGATAAATTGCTTCTGGCCATTCACGCAGGAATAGATCTTGCTTTTTTAATTTGAGTGGGATTTGGTGCGTAATCTCTTTTTCTAGGACTCTGGTCATCACAAATAATTGTGCTGAACCTCCCATAAATTGGGGAACTGTTTTGTTTGGGAAATTCACTTTTTTTTTTCTTTTTTTCCTTGATAATGTTCAGTCCGCGGAAAGACTGTGACTTTTCTCAAGGGCAAGAGCAGAAGGGGGTTAATGTGACTGGGGCCAGATCCAGCCCCCCCCCGCCCTCGGCTCAGGCTGGCTTCTGGCTGGGACACGGGAGGTGAGGGACTCTCGGGACTTGTTTTTGCAAAGCCTGTTAAGTAAGGCTGTGTATTCACCGCTGTTCAGCTCCAGCCCAGCTTTCTGGAAATCCTGTGTACATTGGCTCGTCTTCATTTATTATTTTTTTTATCATTCATTTATTTATTTATTTATTTATTTTAGTCAATTAAGTGATGGACTTCCCAGCCTGAAAAGGCCCCGGCGCTGGCAGAGAGCGGGGAGGCGGGAATGGCTGCGGCTGTCTGCCCTTGGTGCTTCTCCTCACTGAGAAGCCTTTGGTGCCGCTGCTCCCCCGGGGGACATCTGACCAAGCACTCCCTTTCATACTTGGTGTTCAGCCCGTGTCTCTGGGGATTTGCGGGGCGAAGAAGAGCTCCAGCCTCCCCTCCCCTCCTGTTTTGGGACAAAAATGCCATTTTCCCGTCGAGACGCGGACAGGTCCAGCCTGCCTCCCTCGCCCCAGCCCCGGTGGGTGCGTGACAGCCCCCTGCCAGCTCCTGGGTCACCCCTAAAGCTGCCTTCACCCCCATTTTTACTGCCCCCCTGGCATTTGCTTCGTTAATCTCCACCAGTGCCCAGACAACTGCCTGTCCCAGGTGGCTTTTCACAGCAGGACACCACTGGGATGAGGCTGCTTGCCGGGGCAGGACTTATGCAGCCATGTTTTCTGAAGCCTGGAGAGCCTGAACTGCACCATGGATTTATTGCCATCAGCTATGGTCGGTGGCAGTGGGTGCCCTCTCCAAGCAGTAGGACCAGGGTGCCCAGCTCAGCGCAGACCCACTGCAAAGGGGGCCGGCGGAGGCTTGCCGCAGGTGGTGGGGTACTGCATGGCTGCACCATGGCGGCTGCGTGGGTGCATCACTGGCCGGGGGGACACCTTCGCTGGCGCTGGCTCACGATGAGCATCCCAGCCCCACACCAGGCCTGCAGAGGAGCGAGAAAGGGTCTTTCAGCCTCCTGCCTTGCTGTGCTGGGGTCCCACCCTACAGCCCCAGGTTGGTCCCCCATGGGATGCGTCCCAACCCACACCCTCCCTAGCCCGTCCTGGTGGTGTGGCGGGGCCCTTCCCTGGTTCCCCCCACCGGACTCACCAGGGCAACCCTCACCGTGGAGGAGTGTGTGCTGCCTGTGGATGACCCCCCAGTATTCCCCTGGCACCCTCTTGTCTCCTGCATCTAGAACAGCACCAGTACTGAACCAAGGCCCATCCCCGTGGCCTCCCGGCTCCGAGCAGGGCCATCCCCTTGGTGAGCAGCCAAACACCCCGGCACTGCGGCAGCAAAGGGGCTGTGCCTCTGTCCCACCCATCCCTTCTGCCACCTGGACCTCATTAATCTTTCCCATTCAGCAAATCTCTGGGGTTTAGCACTGAAGCTTTTGAGTTTTATTCTGGTTTGATGTTGTGGACACGTTGCAGCCCCTCTTCACATCAAATAAAGGTGCTTCTGGGGTCGGCCCTGCCAGCAGCTATCTCCCACACGTGGTGTTTTCCTGACCAAAGCTTTACAGCTCCTCCGCCAGCACCTTCAGCTTGTTGCTGCATCGAGGTTGGGGGGGGGGAACCAGCGCTTCACACCCCCTCCAGGCTCCAGCCCACCAAACCCCCGGGAAAACCCAGGCTTGGAAAGACGAGGTGCGAGGCAGCAGCAGGCAGTGGGTGACTTTTATTGAGCCAGGACCCTGCCCATCCCCTGGGCTGGAGGTGGCTGCTGCTGCCCCATCTGCCCCAAACGCCAGGGAAGAAGGAGGGGAAGCTTCCTACAGACTTTCTACAATAAATAGTTAAAACGGCATTTTTTGGACCAGTGTGGGGAGCACTGCAGGCCATGTGGGGCCATAGCTGCCACATGGAGTCGGTGGCCGGGCATGGCTACAAAGCCGAAGCGCGTGGCCGAGAGGGGCTGGGGGCACCACGGGGCCATTTGGCTGCGGGATGCTCTGCCAGCACTCCTTGCGATTG